TGACCCACGGCAGTCGGCTATGGATGTCGTCCCCTTGTAACCATCCGTTCAGAGGTCGCTCGAGTTCCTGGATGAAAGATTACTGTTTCAGGGTCCGGGCAAGATGATAAGTATTTGGGAGCGAATCGGTAGAGGTATGATATATGTCACCGGAGGTTCCTCATTGGTCATCAGCTCAACCGAAGGGCGTACAGACCGTATTATGCTATAACAAGCTGTAATAAGTAGTGTAATAGGCTGTAACTAGCTCTAAATAAGCTATAACAATATAAGGTTTTAAATCTATATAATAGTATAATAGTATAATATAATATAAAGCTTAATATATATATTACTAGAAATATAGAACTTAGTTAATAAGATATAGAGATAGATCCTCTTAAGGGATTCTAGCTCTCTATACATTCTAAGTATAATAAAACTACACTTATCTTTCTACCTATCTATTTACTTATTTATCTAGTTAACCTACTAATCTACCTGTTATTTCTTATTATCTTAAGGTAACTTAGGTACTATTTTAGACTAACCCTTATTAAGGTAAAAAAGTAGTTTTATTAAAACTATTTACTACTTAAAAGTGTTATTATAAGTAATAAAGCCACTATATAGATTAAAGAATAAGTAATATACACCTTAAATAAGTAAATATAATACTAGTAGTGTTATAATAATAATATTATATAATTATATAACACCTATAAGATATTTAATTATATAATAATTAACTTAACTTACTTATAGATTATTATATTTTAAGGGGCATAGATTAAATACCTAGCTTAAGTTAATAACTAAAAGGGGGAATAACGTTATATATAGCTAAATAACTTACAGACGTATAAATAAGACAAAGAACCTGTTATATAACTAGAGATAGTAGTAGTTCTTTAGTTACTAAGTAATTTATATTAATTTACCTTAGACTTTATTATCTTAGTTACTATTTTTTTTATATAAAGAGCCTATTTAATATGCAAAGTATATAAAATAAATAAAATAAGTTATAATTTATATAACTAAACTTTTAAAACAGTAGTTAGATCGTTTTAATATAAGAATACGCCCCTAATAGCTATAGCTAAGAAGAAACGCCCCTAAATAAGATACTGTTAGCTTATAAAGTCTATAAGGGAGTAAAGATATAAAAATATAAGTATATAACTATAAAAAGTATAATACTTTAGGCTTTTACTTTTTTATTACGTTTTTAGGCTCTTTAGAGCTAATCTAGGTAGGTTAAGTACTAGTAACTCTTACTATAAAAAGAAAGTTACTAGTGTTAGTATATAGTAAGTATACTCTAAAGAGGTAGGTTATGTAATATTTATATAACACACTACCTCCCCTAGTAGTATCCGCCACTACTGCCTATAACCAAAGGATATAGCCATAAGGTAGACAACAAAGAATGTAGATAATATAACAACAATCAACCACCTAAAAGATCTTGATTATTAAATTGCTATAGGATATCCCTCCTGTAATAACTAACATTTTCACTTACTCGAGGTTTACATTAACTTTACGGCACTGAAACAAGTCTAAAGAGTCCTCTTCTATGTCTAAACCCTTTTCATGACTCACGTGGCTTTTCTATCTCTCTTCACTGTTTATAGGGTTTAGCATGAAAATTGTGTCGGGCAGCATTCATTAATCAGGACAGATACAATCGGCCGAACAATATAGCAGCATTCCAAGAGACTCCAGTGGGAATATTTAAAACAAATTTCCACTGGGAGACCAGAAAAGGAGGATCGAAATGCAGGTTATCAGCAAGCCTAACGGGGGTATTACCACGATGGCGGCCCCTAACAGCGATCAACCAACCCTTCTGTCGACGTGTAAGACCCAAGACGACGAACACACTCAACAGCGGCAGCAGGAACTTGACCAAGGCACCCGAACACTCACGTCGGCGACCTACAGCGAAGACCAATACCCATCGGGACTGCGACTCTTCTTGATATTATTCTCCTTCCTGGTGTCAATGTTTCTCGTGGCATTGGTGAGTTCTGACCCTGCTGCTAGGAGTCTGGATGGTACCCAAATAACACCAATGATCCTTAGGACCGTCTCATTATCGCCACTGCATTGCCTAAAATTACGGATGACTTCCATTCTGTAACTGACATTGGGTGGTACGGAAGCGCGTATCTTCTTTCGACGTGCGCCTTCCAGCTTCTGTTTGGCAAGCTTTACGCCTACTTTCCCGTCAAGCATATTGTTGTCTTGTCTGTAATCTTCTTCGAAATTGGCTCCACCATCTGCGGCACTGCTCAATCTAGCATCGCCTTGATTGCTGGCCGCGCCATCGCGGGCGTTGGTGATGCCGGTATCTTGGCTGGCAGTACAGTCGTTTTAGTCTATTCTGTACCCCTCTGCCGCCGCCCAAAGTACCAGGGTATTTGTGGCGCCGTGTTCGCCGTCGCCTCGGCCGTTGGGCCCCTTCTGGGTGGTGCTTTTACGAGTAGCCATGCCACTTGGAGGTGGTGCTTCCTCATGAATTTACCACTAGGCGGTGTGGCGCTACTATTGATTGCGTGTGCGATGAAGCCGCTCGGCCAAACCCACGAGAAGGCCTCATTGGGGGATAGATTGAGGCAGCTCGACATCAAAGGAACAATGGTTCTGATCCCAGGTGTCGTGTGTCTGTTACTGGCACTGCAATGGGGAGGTATTAAGTATGCCGTAAGTCTCCAGCAAGCCTCTGCAGCCTGGCTGCTCAAAATCCCTTTCCCACTCTGAACAGTATACCGAATTCATGATGGATTTACCTAACGTATTCTAGTGGAACGCACCCCGGTCTGTTATTCTCATGGTTTTGGCTGCGGTCTTGCTCCTTGTTTTCGTTGCTATCCAAGTCTTACTGCCTGAAACCGCTACTGTCCCACCGCGTATCATAAAGCAACGATCCATATTCTTTAGCGCTTGGATCTCCTTCTTTTTTGGCGGACAGTTGATGATTTTTCTTTACTTTATCCCTATATACTTACAGGCGATCAAAGGCTTTTCTGCTATCGAGTCAGGAATCCGTATCCTTCCTCTCATCCTCTCTATAACAATCTTTGGGGCCATATCAGGCACAGTTACCACCCGTATTGGGTATTATAACCCAGTCTTGATCCTAGGGGCCTGTATCATGGCTATCGGTGGAGGCCTACTGACTACCCTTAGGGTGAAGACAGAAGAAAGGCAGTGGTCTGGCTATCAAGTAATCTATGGCATGGGTGTAGGTTTATCGTCTCAGGTGGCAAATCTCGCGGCACAGACGGTGCTGAGGAAAAGCGAGGCCGACGTATCAGTGGGCGTAGGTATCATGTTCTTCTCGCAAACCCTCGGCGGAGCTATATTCACCTCGGTCGGCCAGGATATACTAAACAGCCAGCTGGAGAAGCATACCATGGGTCTACATGACGGTATCGATCTTAAGAAATCCGGTGCAACGACACTGACGAACCTGCCGGCCGAGTTGAGGGATCCTCTGCTGGACGGTTACAATGTTGCACTACGGGCTGTCTTCGTTGTCGGTCTAATACTAGTCTGCTTTGTAGTTGTAGGTGCGGGCGGATTAGAGTGGACAAGTGTGAAGGGATATACCGGATCCGATCCCAAGAACAACGATATTGGGTCACTTTCCGCTCCCGAGCAAATGTTGGAGGGGAAAAATATTCTCGCTCAAGTTGATAAGAAGCAACATAGTGATGAAACAGGGTCTATACCATAGGTTGCGGTTGTAGCTTTATGTAGCAATGTACTTATGGGTGATATAGAATATATGTTCAGCAGGAGGAACATAGGAAACACGGTGAAATGGCTTCATAAGACCTTGCAATTTCAATATCCATTCTCTGAGTACCGCAAGTGAGGTAGAGTATTTAGGAAGGCACTCAGGCAACCAATCTGACAGCAAACCTCTCTCCCTCTAGGGCACTAGGGACAACGTGCCCCCATCTTCGCCCTCTTTATCTGTTGAATTCATGACCACTTCTCACACCTACAGTTGCACTAATGGATATGCGCCATAAGACTCCTGAAGTGGCCCAATACCTAAGTAAGCATGAGCGTTTTGATAGAAGCTTACACTATATAATATTCCATACTACTGGGTTTATCAGGCTACACAACCATTGTATGTAAAATCACATTCTAGAACTTTCAGTACACTGCTCCTCCGTAGCCATGGCTATAGCATTCAAATCCTGTTTCAGGCCGCGAAGGAGTGATAGGGCATCACTCTCGTCAACAACACCCTCATCCCAGTTCAAAGTAACTGTCATGTAGCCGCCAGCAACAGAAGCAAGACACACAGTATATGGATCACTGATTGCAGACATTCCTACCGAAAAAAGGAGTCTGTCAAACGCTGCTGACGTCTTTGGCACACCCTGAGATTGTGATACTAGACCGCCATCTACAGCCCCAAGATTAGTAACACAAAAGGCATGTCGCCTTCTGCTTCCGACCAATCTAGAAAACAACGGCCTGAAATCGCCAATGAATTTCATTAAGCCGTTCGAAAGGTTCACATTCGATTTACTCCTTTCATGAATGATCTTTCCACACGCTCTGACGCTGTTCCACAAGGCCCCATCCTCGGCCAAACTCTTGCGTGTGGGGGTAATGCTAGATCCACAAGGGATGTATCCCTGTAGTCGGCTGTTATCAGAGCAAAACAATACTTCGGCTGCTCCAGTAAATAGCCCCATCTCGCCTGGCTTGTGGTTCCTCAAGAACTTCCTAAGCGAGAAAGGAACTGAGCCAATAAATCGGCTGTGGGCCGGTCCATACAGCCGGGCTAGTTGCCGGGCAGTGAGCACTGTGATGAGCGCCGTCACTGTTGTTTGATTCTGTCTGGTCACACTCACTACCCTTGCGACTTCTTCCCGGGACAGCTGAAATGCCCGACCATAGCTGGTGGGTGGTTGTTCTTCTATACCCCTTATAGGTGGCCCTGACCAGGCAATGGTATCGGCAGGGGCGTACAGACTTGCAGAAAAGTACTTGGAAATCTTGGAGAGCAAAAAGCTAAGTGTAAGAGGAAGTGCCATGCTTTCCTCCAGATGCGGAACCAGAGGGAGATGAGGGACCTGGACGTCTTGGTTGGCTGTAAGCTTCAGACCACCAACCCGATCGCCGGTAGACAGGAGTAAGTTGGTAGCTTCGAGAAATGTCTGGTGGAAGTATACCGCGGAATAGCCATCTCCAACGACACGATGGAAAGAGAAGGACATGGCGAATGACACTGAGTTCAGGAACTCTGTCATATTGGGAACAACAACCAGGCAGTGCCACAGAGGAAGATCCTCCGTCGGTCTGAGGTATCTCTGGAGCTCAGCTTCCATCAGTTTTTCGATATTCGACTGGTAGTCTGCATCAATAAACTGTACAATCCTTCGGACATCGACATGCTCAAGCCTTTTCCAAGTTGGCCGTGCACTGTCCGCGTCTCTCAGGGTAGTTCCTAAGACAGGATGGCGACATAGTGTTTTTCCTAAAGCGGCGATGACCAGTTCTTTAAGGTCATCCCTGGAAAGCTCGACTCCTTCGTCTAGATCAATTGTGTAAACTGCAGCGAGTTGACAGCTGCTATGGAATCCGATTGCGTTTTGGTGGATAAGGCACCTCTCCAAGTGTCCTGTGAACTGTTCAATACTTGTCAAAGAATTAGGAGCTACAGAGGAACAAATCTTACCAGGAGCTCTCAAGGGCAGATCATACATTTTTCTGCGCAGGGCTAGGTGGGCTTGTGGATTGGTCTGTCAGATATCGCCTTCTCTATTCACAGGTGTTGAATCAAGTGCTATAAGTGCTCGGTATGCCGTGGCTATTGAGAAATAGGGTTACCAGCCTAGGATAGGCTTGTATTATAAGGGGTTTGTTAAATAGGCTTTTCGTACATTAATGTACTAATAAGACAATAGTCTAGGGTAAATCAACATATATTTTTTCTAGTTACTTAAGAGCTATTCCTATCTATGGTGGTACAAAAGGTTCTTATACTTGTTTGTAGGCCCTTAAGTCATTCGGCTATACACGACGTCGTTCCCCCTTTTAGTCTTTAACTTAGACTGAGTATCTAGTCTGTGCCCCTTATGTTGAATCATGACAATCCTATGAATAAGTCATGGGCGTTGTATAATTAATTACCTTATACCTGTGCGTTAGAGTGGAGTAACCTACATAACACACTTTACTACGTGAGAGTGTGTACCTAGATCCTAAATCTACTCTTACTATTAAATCTTAATAAAGACTTAACTAGCTATATCTAGATAACTAGGATTAGTAATATAAAAAGGTATATCTTAAAAATTACTTTTAGTATAAGTCTTTTACTATAAATCAAGTATTATAATATTAATTATTACCTAGATATTAGTAGTATAGATTAACACTAGAATAGCTAGAGTAACTATAGCTAATTTATGATAAATCTACTAGATCTATAGGGATATTATATAGTAAGTTTACTATGTAATCCTATAATAGTTTCCCTCTTTATATATAGTTTAGAACTACTATTTACCCCTATTATTCATTACTACCTATTAATATATATAGTTAACTATATTACTAACTTATAAAACTAACACTAATTAGTAGTTAACTTTATAGTAACTACTACTATAAGATACTTTAAATTAGTAAGGTAATATAAGAAGAGGTAATATTTTATTATTAATTATCTCTAAAGGCCTAAAGTAGGCTTTACTAAAAAGTCTTACTATAAATACCTTTATAATAAGGTTATATTATATACTTATTATAAATTTATTTATATTACCTAGTAGCTATATCTCCTTAACATTATAAAACTAGTATAAATTTATATTATTTATATAAGTAATTTAACTTTATTACTATATAAGAAGTTATCTTCTTAACTATAAAAAATACCTTACTTTATATTCTAACTTACTATTAATTAGTAATTACTTACTTTTTATGTTCTTTTTATTATAAGCTTATAAAGCTTATTAATTTTCTTTTTTTATATATTTTCTCTTATAAAGTTATTTTATATTACTAATATAAAAGCCTTTATTACTTATAAGCTTATTATAAGCCTTTTCTTTTTAAGGTTTTATTTAACTATAAGTCTTTATAGTTATTTATACTACTAGTAGTAAATTCTCTAATAGATATATATATCTTTTAGTAATAGCTAAGAAAAACGCCTATAGCTAAGAGGTAGTTAGGCTAATAAATAGTAATTATAAGTAAGTAATTAAAATAAGTAACTATAATAAGCTAGTAAGTAAAACCTATAGTTTAACTAAAGCCTAAGAGGTAAGAGGAAATTACCTTAAATATATACTACTACTTAATAGTACTAAGTAAGTAAAGGTAATCTAAAGTACTTATAAGGTACTTAAAGGGCTTAAGAATTATATTAATATTACCTAATAGTAAAAAGACTATATTATAAAGTTATTATAGGACCTTATAGCTACTAAGGAAAGATATATACTTATTATTATTATTATAGCTAATACTACTAAATATAAGTACTATAATAATATATATAAAATTCTTTATAAGAAGGTATAAAATAACTTTAAAGATTAGTTAATTAATAATTTTAAGCTACTACTTTATAAAGTTACTATAAAGTTATATAACTATATTACTAGCTATAAAGTATAAGTTTATTAGTTAAAACACTTTATAGTTATATTATATATTTATAAGGCTATAAAGAATAAATAACTTACTATATAAAATAAGAAGATAATTCTAACTATTATATAAAAAGTTAAAGGATTTCAAAAGTAAGTAATAAATTATAATTTTATAAGATTAGTAATAGTATAGTAGTATTACTTATTATAGTAATTACTATAGTATAAGAGGCTAAATAAGTAATTACTTATAAATTACTAGTAATAACCTAATTAATCTTATATAAAAACTTATTATATATACCTCTTCTAGCCTTACTACTATAAAAACCCTAGGTAATAATAATAAGTTATAAAAAGTAAGTCTAACTATATTATTTACCTATAGTAACACTACTTATATTTACTACTATAGTAAGTAAGTAAAGTAGCTTAATACTAAGGTAATTAATAAACTTATTAAGGTTCTATATAAATAATCTAAGTTTAATATATAGTAGTAGCTAATATAAAACTATTAACTTAAAGCTATCTTTTTTATAACCTTTATATTTATATAAGTAAACTATAAAACTACTATAGTATAGTAGTAACAGTAATACTTTAAGAGAAGCTATATAAGTATTATACTACCTTATTACTTAGTTATTTTAATAATTTTAATATAATAATAGTAAAGCTTAAATAACACTCTTGTAAGGTGTATTAGCTAAGGGCCTAGATTAGGGAAGAAGATGGACGTTAAATTGATGATTAATTGATTAATTAATAGGTAGGGGTATCTGTAGATGTAGAATTCAACTTGGCCACTTCAGCTGGCTGGCTAGGCTGAAGGGTAATATGTGTGTGTGTTGCCGGCCGGGCTAACGATTCGCCGATCGGCCGGCGATTAACCGATCTATGGGCATCCCGCCCCTTGGCCCAGGGATATCGTTATAATTGCCCCCCTTCCTAGAAGGTCTAGTCCCTAGGCCGTACGCCTAGATAGATAGGATTTAAACCTAAAGGTGGGATTTAAACCTAATAGTTAGGTGTTAATAACCCTCATCTACTCTTTAGCAGGATTCAATTTCAGGTATTAATAACCCTTATCTACTCTTTAGTAGGATTTAGTTTTAGGTGTTAATAACCCTTATCGCTATATAATTAGTAGCCTGTTAGCAAGCTTATAAGGCTCTTATCTACTCTTTAGCAAGATTTAATTAGATAGGATTTAAACCTAATAGGCAGGTGTTAATAACCCTTATTACTAGTTAATTAGTAGCTATTTAGTAAGCTTATAAGGCTCTTATCTACTTATTAGTAGGATTTAGTAATATTCTTTATTAGATATATCTACGTTATAATAACTAGCTCTTATTTAGGCCCTTACTTAGGCTACTATTACTAACTGTTCCTTACTTTAGTAAACAGTCTTAGTATACCCCTTCTTATAGTAATACATATATACAGCCTTACTATAGCACTTCTTAGCACTATAGCCTACTTTACTACACTTAGCATAATTAGTAGAGGCTCTTAGCCTTACCTGCTTAGTATCTACTAGCCTTACCTGTTCTTTAGGTTAGGGTCTTTTTGCTAACAGCTTGCTAAGCAGTAATTAGATAAAGCTCTCTACAGAGGTCCGCACAGGGGTCCAGCTAGAAGCCTAATTAGATACCTAGTTAGCCTAGAGCTCCTATAGTCTTTTAGTAGTAAGGGTAACGTCCCTTAGCCTCTAGGCAGAGTGCTTCTACTAGATTAGTGCCTGTTATAACCCTAGTTACAGGCAGTAAAAAAACAAGAAGGCTAGAGGCTAATTCTCCTCCTAGTTAGAGCCTAAGGCCTAATAGATTACTAACTATTTAGTAAAAAATTATAGTAGTAATTAATCTACTTATTAGGCTTTATATAGCTAGCTATAAAGATAACGCTCTTAGAGCTCTAGATTAATATATAATTAGTAAATAAACGCTTTAAAAGCAGCCTAGAGGCGCTTACTACCTATAGCAGCTTAATAATTTCTTTATTATGTCTAGAGCGTTAGGGTTACCTTTATAAGAGCCTATTTAATATAGTAGCCTTTAGATACTGTTAGCTAAAGCTAATTGCCTGCCTTAATAGCTACTAGCTAATCTGCTACTTACTTAGGCGTACTGTTTTCTTATAAGGTGCTATAAGTGTACGCTAGAGGGCGCTTATATTACTTCTTAGCTATTACTAGGCAATTAGCAAGCAGTTATAAAAGGGCTATATTCTAATCCTAGATAGTCTGTATTAGCTCTATAATAGATAGAGTAGATAGGGGTAGCTCTAGTTTAATTTAGTAAGTAGTTACTAAAGAGCGTGTTAATTATAACAGTTAAGATTATAATAATTTATTATCTATTTCTAGCCTAATCCCTCTTAGAGGTAGAAGTTAAATAATTATAAGGTGTATTAGCTAAGGGCCTAGATTAGGGAAGAAGATAGACGTTAAATTAATAATTAATTAATTAATTAATAAGTAGGGGTATCTATAGATATAGAATTTAACTTAGCCACTTTAGCTGGCTAGCTAGGCTAAAGGGTAATATGTGTGTGTGTTGCCGGCCGGGCCGACGATTTGCCGATCGGCCGGCAATTAACTAATCTATAGGCATCCCGCCCCTTAGCCTAGGGATATTGTTATAACTCTAAAAGTAATAAAGTATACTTTTTATATATTACTAAGCTTTACTATACCTTTTTTAGTTTAATTACTAGAGAAGGCGCTAGTAAGAGTAAGCTTAAAGTACTTAAAGTACTTATTATATAAATTACCTAGTTAGTATAAGTAACTACTTATAATAGCACTTTATATAATAAAGATTATTATAAGTAACTACTTACTTATTACTATAGTATACTTAAATACTTTATTACTATTTTCTATTTACTTATTACCTTTAGTAGCCTTTATATATAATTATATAGTAATATAGTAAATTTATCTTTTTATTATAATTTATAGCTATAATACTTTATTAATACTAATTATAGTAATAACTAATAC